CTAAATACTAAGCATTAAAATATAAATGAAAACAGCAGTGGTAGTATTGAAGAGGCAATGAATACATTTTATACATATAGATGTAGGGCCTGCAGTAGGTGTCGGCCTTTAATTACTATCAAGCTAAGTAAAAAAAACCTAATTTATTGATGATACCTGGTGATTGATCAGGTTAAATTGATGAGATTATAAGAGGGTGTGATGGTAATTGCATCACGTCTGTCTGTGGTATATCTGACACTTTACGGATATATAATTATACTAAAAGACAAATCAAAGACAGTAGTCATAGCAACCATATTTTTCACCTTAAAACACCTTGACAATACGTGTAATTTTATTACTTGCTGATATGTCTCTATGCTGGTTGTGCTATAGCTTGGTGGAGGAGGAAAACCTGTAGGTTAGGGATACATGTATGAACCCATTAAATACTGGATTGTCTCGTTATAGGTTTTGCCACCTGGGCATCGTTTCACAAAACCATTGTAAGTACAAGTTCGCCGACAACCCATTGAAACTTATATATTAATATTTACATGCATTTCAATGTGATGTCGGCGAACTTGTACTGATGATGATTTTGTGAAATGAGGCCCAGGTTCTCATAGGCAATGGTTTAATTAGCGCTTTCCATATGCAGGCAGGTCATGCTAGCTAGTGCAGTCAGTGTTATCAATGAATGATTGATTGAATTTATAGATGGAAATATGGATGAATGAATAGATGAATTTATAGATGGATAGATGATGGATTGATGCTTGACTGACTGAATGAATAGATGAATGAATTAATTGAAAAACAAATTAATTACAATCAATCACTTAATTAATGGATTAATCTATGAGTTAAAGTGATATACCTGCCACAAGGAAACATAAAACAGCTACATGTGCACAATGTACAGCTCAACAGAATAGTTCAGATAATACTTTTATTTTATGATAATAAGTCATGGAAATATTAAGTTTTGATATTTTATCTACATATATTAGGTAAAAAAAACATTTTGACATGAAGAAATTATTGTTTGTATATGTTGTATTATATCTTACATGTATATGTTCTTCGTTATTCCGTTATGTTATATTTGGAAAAATGCAGAAATAAAATCAAAGAATTAAAATCGAAAAAATAAAATACAATTCATATATACTTATTTGTACAGGTCTCCTAACTTTCCACTTTTGTCAAGTATTTGTCAGTGGTTAACAGGTCTTGCTTCTCAACCAAATAATATTTGCATCATCACACACTAAACCCTTCTCTTAATTATCACCTTCAGGTCCAGTCTATCTTGCATTTGAGAGTATGGAACCGGTCAGACTGGACTTTTTCCTGAGGACCGTCCAAGATGTCCACAAGCCGGTCACCATGCATGTTCCGGACTTCAACATCACCACGCCCCTCATGCCCCTGCTCCTCAAGTTTGCAGCGGACATCGCAGCGGGTCTCTCTCACCTTGCTTCAAAGAGGGTAAGAATTAATAGCTCATGAATGAACTTGGAAAATGTTTTGATATAGATAGGAAAGGGTGAGATAGTGCATGTATAACTATCCCGAACTGCCTGACCAAGTTTTTCTTTTAAAGAAGTTTGCATGAATATGATTGTTTAGGTTGGTATAAAAGAAATTTGTCTCTTTTTGTGGCTATATTTCATGTATGACCAAACTTTTCAGTCAATATCAAAAAAGATTGATGAACTTGGTGACAAAATCTGATACCACCAATTGGCCAAGGAACCTAAAATTACCTGTGCAAAAATGTCCTTTAGCATTAGATAGGAAATTCTGAAAAATTGACCAAAAAAATATTTTAATGTATGAACTCATTTTGCATGTCTGAAGTAAAGACTCTTCTTTAGGAAAATACTAACATTCAGACAAGGCTGTATCTTTGGAAGTTGGGGGGGGGGGGGAGGGTATTGGGTAGGGGTTGTTATTTTTTTTATGCAGAGCAAAGTATTTAATGTTCCCTCATCTCTTCCCATTTAATAGAGAAAAGTACATGTATTTCATGCAAAACAGATAATCTTACAATGATATCTAGTTAAATGTAATTGGGTGAAAAATCTTACTAATACAAGCCTCAAGCAATTTTTCCTTCCAGAAAAAATAAGTAGTTTGCTAATATCATGTTGGGCTCTTGCGTAGGTGTATTCATGTACATCTCTTTTTACAGTAGTGAGGTATGTAGATGCATAGACAACAATTATCATTGTGGTGTAAATTGCAAATAAAGACGACAAAGAAAAATAGTTGACTACCCTTTAATGCGGTTTTTCCTATTCCTGGACCTTTGATAGAATGGAGACTTGTCTGGGAGACATTGAACTGAGATATATAGTTCATCGACATATTGCGATAGAACATTTATTTTTGTGGTCTAACATCCGATCACAAAGTAATATTGTTGTGGTTTAACCTGTAAAGCCCTCTTGGGGGTATGTTTATGCATGGGAGTGGGGAGCATTCTTTTGATTTCCTGCGCAATGTCTGGAGCTGTCTCCTGCATTGATCAGTGTTTGTTCCTTTGAAGTGGAAAAATGAAGGAAAATTTCTATCACAATCTGAAAGAAATTTAGGTGAAAACGGAAATGTGAATGATTAGAACATTGTGTGGGTGAATGCTTTTTGAAGGCTATTTCTTTCTTATTACATGAAATATGTGGTTCCTTTTTATTACTCCATTACACTTGGTTCAATTTACTGTGCATTATGTTAATAAATCACAATTACTGCACCGTTTCACACAATACCGGTACATATTACACATACATCAAATTTGGGCTCGTCGTGCCGCCTCATAAAATATTCCATTAGCATGTGCGATACCCTTGTATCCTACTCAAGGCCATTTTCATGTAATATTGTTAACAGGAATCATACCAATGTTATAATTAAATGCAAACATTGAAAATATAATGGTTTTAATACATGAAACAGCAGACATAAATCAGTTAAAGTCAAAGTTTACATGAATTTGTTCTTATGTTATGTTTCAATTATGCTATATTCAATTACTGACAAAAGACTTGTATTCAATGGCGCCGTAGTAATTGTTGCTACACATATATCCTTCTCCATCAAAATGTCAAGGATGGATTGATTGTTGTTTCACCACATCTGTATAGAAAATATGATATTTTATCATGATATTTACAGATGGAAGACAATTTCACTGTAATTTAGATTGAGAATAGTAAATACAAAGTATTTATTTTCTCCACCCCTCTGTTTTCTGACTAAATAGATGTTAAACTTTGTTAATGTTAATATTTTGTTATGAAAATTCATGCAAAGATAGAAATGATATAAGATATATAGCCTCCATGTAACCTTCCCCATGAATAATCAGTTTGTTTGAAAAGTGTTTCAGTTGAATTTTTGTCTTTTCAGTGCTTTCAAGAGTCACTTGTAGATGATTAAATTCTGAATTTGAAATAAATAACTTATAGTACATGTCATGAGAGGAAGTTGGAAAAGGTGAATAGGTAGAATTATAGAAAAAATGGTTTTACATAGACAATGACAGCACAGGTCAAAAACCCAACTGTGATGGATGAGATATTCCTTTTGAAGTGGGGGGAAATAGATTAGATACAATGTAGACTTTCATGTACGGAAAAAAGAAGAAGGGCCAGGCAATATATTTCAAACGCGATATTAAAATACACGTGATAAAAATATGGTTCATTCTCATGCAGGATAGATATTAATGATGTGGCCTTGGATGTTTGTTGTTACAGATCGTGCAGCACAATCTAGGGGTGAGGAATATTGCACTGACTGCCGATCTCGTTGCCAAGGTAACCGATTTCGCCATCAAAGATGAGACTCAGAACACGGGACGAGCTGTGAACGGAGATTCGGTAAGTAGAGAGGAAATTTATTGTAATGTAGACAGGAATAAGAGAGAGAGAGAGAGAGAGGGGGGGGGGGGGAGAGAGGGGGGAATAAGAGAGAGAGAGAGAGAGAGGTGGAGGTAGATAGAGGAGAGAGATGGAGGGGGCGAGGGATGGAGGAAGATGGAGGGAGGGTGGAAAGGAGGGAGAGGGAGTGAGAGAAAGAGGAAGAGAAAGAGAGAGAGAGAGAGGGGAGGGAGAAAGACAAGGGAGAGAGAGGAAAGAATTACAGAATTGTACAAACAAGAATGAGAGCAGAGAAATGTGGGGAATAATTATGGACTTGACTGGGGTAATATGAATTATTTGTGTTGATTGCTGGGAGGGGAGAAGGAGAGAAGGGGAAGGAGAGAGGGGGTGGGGGAGGGAGCAGGAGAAATAGATGAGATATATATATATATAACGAGGGAGAAAAAATAACTGAAGAGGATGAAAAATGTAAGAAATTGAATAGTATAATGATTGAAATTTAATGGAAATCTATTTTATTATAGAGGACTAGGAGTTTTCAGAGTTATTATATAATCTTATAGAAAACGAAAATCATGACCCCTTATGCGGCCATTAATTGTCCTACTCTTTTTCTCCAATGCTATTTCATATTTTCACAAACATGTATTTTTGTTAATATTACAGCAATCATCATTCCCATCTAGTGCAAGATGGATGGCCTACGAGACACTGGTATTCAGCACATGTACAGAGAAGAGTAATGTGTAAGTATTATGATGAAATATTGAGCTCACCATTTTATCAAGCCCAAATTCAAATTCAATTGAACATTTCTTTTCTTCCATTCAATTTGACGTCATATTTGACATCTGTTCAAACAATACAATTTATACATAGGAACACAAATATAATTAAAGAACTGGTATTACAAGGAATAAGGCATGAATCTTGATAAGCAAAGCTTGTAATGGGTAAGCCTGAATCAGAGATGCCAACTAGTACGGATTTCCCGTAATTGGTACGGAAATTAACGACCATTACGGCAGTACGGAATGTTGTCTAAAAATTACGTTTTTTTTTTTTTTTTTTTTTTTTTTTTTTTTTTTTTTTTTGCGCATAGGGATCAATCGTAGCAAGTGCTGTACAGTATGGTGGCCATCCAGCACTCGCTGCATGAGAAAGATGGAAAATTATCAAGTATTCTCTTAATAGAAGCCAATTTTTCATTGAAAACTTATGTGTTGTGATGAACTGAAAATCAATATTTAGCAACTTTGTGGGAGTAAAATCACAACAAATTTCAGATAATCATGCGCGCATGCGTCCGCTTGCCATTCTTTTAAGATTCATGGCGCCGCATAGGAAATTACTGATTTATTCCCCAAATTACTGATTTTGAGCCTTATGGTTACTGATTTGTGCTCTGAAAGGTTGGCATCCCTGCTGAATACACAAGTACATGTTGAAGCAAACAAAGTAGAATTCATAACTTATCAGTTCTAGCATGAGCTGTCACTGTTGATTGGTTGATATAGGTAATCATTCAAATGTTATGAATCAAAACCTGTATTGAAAAGCCTGAGATTGTTTTTTCTAAATAAAAATTGTAAACAAAAAATTAAGATACAAATTGAAAAGCATTTTTCCTAAATAAGTAGATAGAAATTCCTTTTTGAAGACATATGCTAGTTGTCTCTTGTGGAGCATGTATTTATTCAAACTCGCACAATGGTATTGATTTTAAAATTGTTGCTAATCATCTCCTAGATCGAGATAGGATTTTAGGTCTAAATCAAGAGAATAATCCAATGTTTTTCTACTCTCTTTAGATGGTCTCTTGGTGTTATAATCTGGGAAATCATGTCATTTGGTGAGTATACATGTTCTTTTTCTCTTTCCTCAGACTGCTTATTGGTTTATTATAATATTCAACATTCATCCTCTCCAAGCGCTATAGTTTTCCTTAGAACTATAAGCTAAGAAAGATAACAAACAGTCCTTTTCAGGACTACACACCCCCACAAAAGATTACCGAGTCAGAGTCCTTTCCTGGACTCCTCAACCCTCTCTCTCTCTCTCACATGGTGCACCCGCAAGCCTACTGTATAACATTCAAAATGTTTTGAATAACTCATTTCTTGGTTTTAAAGTCACAAGGGACTGTTTTCTAATCACAGTAAATTTTCCTCATGTTTATTTCTATTTAAACATGATTCTTTTTCAAAAGGATGTCATTTGGCACGATGTCCTCCCCCACTTTGATACTTTTGTTTTAAAAAAAGTGATATTTGTTTAAGCTAAATGAAGCATGCTTGTAAATCTGGAACTTTTCTAAAGTTGACTGTCCAGACTTTTTTATTTCATGGGATTTTTTGTAATTAATTAAATATTGGATGAACTGTTAAAAACTAATTCTACAAATTATCGCCCGATATACATAAAACAATTTTGTCTCCCATTTTATTTGAAATTCATATTTCATGGCTCAAACAGTGTCCAGTAGTCGATTTCAAATGTGAATTGTTTTGCATTATCAGGTTCCGAGCCCTTCAATGGCTACCCTGTCGATGAGCTGAGCAGAAAACTGACAGAAGGCTACACGTTGAACCAACCAGATGGATGCTTAGACGACATGTAAGTTTACAGTATATGTCTATTAAAGGTAAAGACTAGTATTGGAAACGCCCCAATTTCAAAAAATGAAATGGAAGCTCTTATTACCAATCATGTGAAAGAATATGTTCTGACTAATACAGTACATGATGATACAAAATTTTGCCGGTAAACCGCCTGCTTATTGATATATATGGTAAATTAGTTTATCTATTGGTGTGTGAGAGATAAACGCACGTGTCGCGCACCTGTGTGTAGTCCCATATACATCTTTCTGTGTACGGTGCTTGTAATTTAACTAAGACTGGGCCAAATTTCTTATCATTTTGATGATTCCAGAACCTTGCAGTACACACCAATACTTATATGCTAGATGATCAACCTTTTCTGATCGATTCCACAACTTTTCTTTCACAATGCAATCGCATGACCATAACTGGTTTTGATCTTTAATTTTTGACTAGTTTTTTTAATTTGTTTTTATTCCAGTCTTAGAGTAAAGTCTTAAAGTAAGTCTTATCATAAGTGATTTTTAGATTACAAACATTGGAAATGATGTCATCCTTTCATACTCGTTGGCTATTATAAGCTTTTCTTCGGATGATTCCGTATATAACCCATTACATGTACATTTATATTATATCAAGTTCGATTTGCTTACTTGATTTTAAAAATTAATTTAGCTTTAACTATCACAATTTTTATGCCATATTGGCATATAAGTATATAGACCTATAGATGAAGTCATTGAGATATATTTTCTTTTCTACAAATCATAAATGCATTGAGGCACCAGACATGACTTCTAGTTGGTTGTTTGTTGCAATTATCCTCATTGCAGTTCTGTTTTGTGTAAGTTTCTTATATAGTTATTTCTTTATTATAAAATAAAATTTAATTATCATTTTCCTTGAGCTTTTGCTATAAGAGGTCAACCTAAAAGCCCTTCTAAAGTGTTGCGAGCCCCAAATTCGCAAACTAATTTGATGGCGATTTTCACTTAAATTGTATCATAATGTGAAAGAGGATGATGTTTAAGACACACTTCTGCAAAGACTTAACGCTGAAAATGTGTTTGAAGACAAATATTAATAAAAGAAAAAATAATTTGGGTATTCTGTTGTACGCAGAAAACTTAAATGTTGTATTCTTTCATCAATATTCAACTTCAAACACATTTGTTTTGAAAATCCTTGCAGAAATTTTTTAAAAAGGCAAATCTGTGACATTATTTTTTTAATTTTCCATTTTCTACAAATCTTCTGAAGATATGAAATCATCCAGAACTGTCTGAGACTAGAACCCGACGAGAGACCGAATCTGAGGAGTCTGGTTGCTAGACTAGTAAGGAGATACCAGAGCATCAAGTTACAGGTAATCTGAAAAGGGTATTCCCCTTAGTCTTCTGGAATTCTTTTGTAGAATATATTACACAACTTTTGGTCATGCACAAAATGTCAATTGAGGGATTAAGAGTCATTGTACATGTATTTTGTATTGTATTTATTAAACTTCATTGATTTATGGATAGTCAACCCATTACATGTACATGTACATTTATATTATATCAAGTTCGATTTGCTTACTTGATTTTAAAAATTAAATTTAGCTTTAACTATCACATTTAGCTTTAACTATCACATGTTCGAAACATCGAACCACTCCCGCCACTCATCCTCTCCAAGCGCTATAGTTCTCCTTAGCACTATAAGCTAAGAAAGATAACCAACAGTCTTTTTCAAGACTATACCAAACAGTCATTTTCAGGACTACAAACCCTCAAGAAAAATTACAGAGAGTCCTTCTCAGGACTCCTCAATTCTCCCTCTCTCTCACATGGTGCACCCACAAGCCTAGCGTACATTTACATGTACTTTTCTGCTTTGGAATGAGTGTCTACTTCATGTACATTGTATATTTTCTTCTGTTGCAGAAGTAGTTCTTCAGTAGGTTTTAATGTGTGAAACATTTGTTTGTGCTTCTTGAGATGAAATCTATTATATTTCGGTTATTGAAAAGAACATGATTTCTTGCTGCATTTTGTAACAGAGAAAATTTAACTCACAGACTTTGGCAAGATTATTTAAGGTCCAAGTATATACTACCGGTATGTGTCATCTGATTTAAATCCTTCTTTTTCTTCTCTTTCAGGACAAAGAGACGAGAGCTGAGGTGTTCCAATCCCTTGCCCAGTTGAGTGATAACCATGACAACATGAGCCCACCTCAGATCAGGAGTATGGAGATGCTTGTCAATGGGAATATAGATAAGGTAAGGGCTCATATGGGACCTGTTTCACAAAGCATTTTTCCAATGACAAATCTACTGATAACCAATCAGAAGCAAGGATTTTAGTAGCTTATAACAAAAACTGTCATTTGTCACTGATGACAAGTTTTGTGAAATGCCCCCCATAAGTTCATCTGGGACCCGTTTCACAAAACATTTTTCCAATGACAAATGCCAAAGATCAGTGACAAATCTCCTGATAACCAATCAGAAGCAAGGATTTCAGTAGCTTATAACAACAACTGTCATTTGTCACTGATGACAAGTTTTGTGAAACACCCCCCAGGACTTTACAAAATACCTCATTGGATGAAATAAGGGAAATTACTCAGAGCATGTCTTCAAAATAGATAAATTTGATAGGTAACCATATCGTTCCTGTTTTCACGAAGTGATGGTAGTGAGGAAAATCTGCACGCAAATTGTATGGGATTATCATTCACTACCGTCACTTCGTGAAAATAGGGACGATATATTTTGTAAGGCAAATTTTCATCCACTCCAAACCTGTGGACTTTCTCAAGCCAAGTGATTCTTCATACAGTCAAACCAATATTTTTGACCAAACTATGCAAAATGTGTTATTTACAGTCCCAACAGATGCGATTTATGCAGAATTAACCGTATATGCACCTCTGAAAACGCTTCTGGTGCCTGTGAAAACATCTTTCCTATTTCCATCTGTCTCTCATTCTGTCTCTCTGTCTACCTACAGGAGTTAGCCCAGGCCAGGCTAATGGCTGTCCAGTATGCTGCCACGGCATTCCCTGGCAGTCATGTTGCTTCCAAGTACACCTTACTCTCAGCTTGTGGAGACGAGTGAGTTCAAAACTTTTATCAGTCATCGTACACTTTATGTAGATATTTGAGTTCTATGTGTTTTTAATGCTGATCCCTTGAATGATAATAAAAAAATTTAATGGAACTTTAATATCACCATCCATATGAGACTTATGTGTATATTTAATCAAGGGCTACATTTGTAAGTTATTACAAATTGTGGATTACGAGAGTAATGTACTTGGCTACTCAAAGAGCAAATATCACGTTCGGTCTCTTAAATTGAAGCTTTTATTAGACTCAACAGAGAAGCCATACATTTTCCGATATAGTTGGATTCTATCGATCACCCCAAAGACTTGTCTGAAATAGCAACAAGAAATGCCATCAAATGTTTGCTTGACAGGAGAAGCACAATGTTTGAAGCACAATCCTTCACTATTGAAATATACAACTGTCCATTAATTTTAAACCATTTGTTGTTGTTACTACAACAGGATTGAAGTTGTGAGGACAGAAGCCAACAACATTATCAAGATGCAGGCTAAGATTGCAGAGATGGATATGGACTCGGACACACCCTCAGGGAAGATGCTCCCAGCCTTCCCTCTCATGATTAACCAAATCAGAACAAAGGTAGGATATCGTCAGTACTCTATGTTAGGGTGGGTCGGGTCGATGGGATGGGGCGTGGTGGGCGTGGTAGGGCAGGGTAGCTGAGATGGACATGGAATCAGACACGCCCTCGGGGAAGATGCTCTCAGCCTTCCCTCTGATGATTAACCAGATCAGAACAAAGGTAGGATATCGTCAGTACTCTATGTTAGGGTGGGTGGGGTCGATGGGATGGGGCGTGGTGAGCGTGGTAGGGTAGGGTAGCTGAGATGGATTTGGAATCAGACACACCCTTGGGGAAGATGCTCCCAGCCTTCCCTCTGATAATTAACCAAATCAGAACAAAGGTAGGATATCGTCAGTACTCAATGCTAGGGTGGGTGGGGTCGGATGGGATGGGGGGGGGGGGGGGACTATCTTCAGTATTCTCTGTGTGTCATGTAAATGTAATCCACATTATCATATCTTTACTGACTCTCTCTCTCTCTCTTTCTCTCTCTCTCTCTCTCTCTCGCTCGCTCTCTCTCTCTCTCTCTCTCTCTCTCTCTCGCTCTCTCTCTCTCAAGTTATAGGGTCCTATTGTAATGTAAAACAGATCCTATGAGGATGAAATAGGCTGCTTATTATTTAATACTTGTATATCTGATGAATTTGGGAAAGTTCAAAGTATTCATTTACTTTAGTGTAGAGTTCTAAACATTAATTGACATCAAATATGCCCATACACTTCATATTTGGTCTAGTAGTCCAAACCTCTTGTAGGGCTATTAACTGAATACAGTGACCATATACTATCAATCTGAGATATGGTCGGTAACTAAAAAAACAAAATAGAATGTACTTGCCCAGTTTACTATGCTTATTTTCTGTTGATTTTCAAACTTATATCCACTTTGAACAGGCCTTTGATAACTTGCCACACTCTAGTCAGAAGTCACAGGGACCTCTTGGAGTCTTCACGATACCATTCAAAGCCCCCGTCTATGAAAAGGTAAGCCCATCAATTCACAAGGCATTTCCAGAGCTGCCAACCATTACGTTTATCCCGGAATTATTCTGTTTTTTTCTCCAAATTACGATTTTTTCTCATAAAATATGTTTTTTAATTTTTTTAAATTTATATGTAGAGCCTTCAATTTCAAGGGAAAATGGAGATGTTTTCCTGCATGACATTGCAGTTTGTCAAGCTTATGCTGTAGGCCACCTCTTAAAGGTTCACATTCCCTCAGAAGTATAGGGGGTAATAGTTGTGCTATGCCTGTTATCACCACTTCTTGTACCATCCCTCTCTCCCAGATTGGCGTCTACTTGCGGATGTGCTTGGCCTACTCTGCAGAAGTATCGCCCAACGTCTTCAAGACGAACGAGATGAAGAAACAAGGTCCCGCCCTCAGTCGCTACGTCAACGACCTCGTGGAGATGTACGCAGGAGATTCGGGCGCCCCCGTTTCCACCTACACCGGTCTCCTGAGGCAGTACGTGTCGGCCATCGGAGGTGGGAGGGGCTTGTTCTCTCTCCTGGAGGTCGTTGCTATGGCGCCGGATAAACTGGCGCCACAGTTTGTGAAGAAGACAGATAGTCTGAAGGTACATACACACATTTTGATGTTTCTATTTTTACCCCCTTTCATTACAATGTCTTTGTCTGTCGATGTACCTGTTTATCAATATCTCTGACAATTTCATACCCCACTACACTGACAAGACAGACACCAAGGAATACAGAATACAGGCAGAATAGACTGAATAGACTGAACTGAACTATGACATTACGTTAAACGACTAAGAATTTCTTGAATTTCATATTCACCATATTTCAATCACTGATTCATTCAGAGTTGACAATTCATTTATAATTCATGTCATAATATTCAATAATACACTTTACCCTTAGATGTTGCTGTATTCTGATGAGGAAGCAGTGCGCCTCTACGCAGCTCAGCTTTTGGGCGTGGTTCTCTGTTACGCCCCTCCTACACTGGTGGTCGATACCATCATGTCCTTCACCTCAAGACTGGACTCAGATGTAAGTCCCCCCCCCCTCCCCCACTCCCCCACACCCTCTTTACCACTCTTTACTTTTAGCTTTACCACACTTATAAGCCACTGAATTATCCAGATAATGGTACAGAGTCTTGTGGAGACTCGATCTTCTCTTAATGATTCTTGCCATTTGATCGGTATTGGCATTGGTATTCGAATTCAGTTCTGGTTGACATTCACCTCTTACATCTTCAAAATGTTCTTGTGGATAGTAAATTGTGAATGAAAAACCCCTCGAGGGAGACAAAGAAAAGCAGTCTTTTTATGCAGGTGATCTTTAAGTGCTGGTTCCTTCAAAACAGGTTCACTTGGAAACAAAATAAATGTGAATAAATCAGCAATTGTTTTAGGATTAAAATAACAATACGTAAGGGCTTTTGATCAAAATTCATTGCTTCAGCCCAAACTTGGTACAAGAGGATTTTGAGAACACTTTCTGAAAAGGTTGCTACTCAGTCATTCGTGACAGCAGAGTTATGAATAAGGTATCATTAGACAGACTATATGTTACTCTTTAAAATGAAATATAAGTGAAGGTCCCACATGTTATAACTTTTTAATGGGTCTTCACGAAGTTTGGGTATACCTTTTTAAATAAACACTGTATAGGTAGTGGTTGCTAAAGCAATATATGGAAAATATCATCTGCTTTTTACATTGTAAGATTTATCTTGGGAACAAATTTGGTTGTTTTAAGTTAGCCATCAAGGTAGAGAGAATCAAATATTAATTCTGTGTGCCATGCATCAATTGTTTGATTTTTATTCATGCAGTCAATCGAGAGCTGCCAAGCAATGCTCTGGGTTCTGGGCTTCACCATCGGAAGGCAGATGCAGAAGGAGATACAAGCCAACAAGGACACATTCTCCAGACTGACTGACACCCACAATCTGGGAGAAAATATCTACAGGAGAGCCACCGAAGCAATAGGTATGTGAGCTAGGGCTGGACAGGGTTCCAAGAAAACGTTAGGTGACGTAGCACAGCCCATGTGTGAAAAATGATGACTCCACTGACTTTGAGCATTTTGTAAATTTTGCATCATTCCCCTTAGCCTAAAATGTAACCAAATAATGATGATATCAAGTATAAACCACAAAAAAACCTGCCATTTCGATGAAAAATGATCGCCATTTGATAAATTCAGCTGACTGAATTTTTTTTTCCTGTCAATTCACAGTTGCTAAACTAGAGAGCAGCAATCCCACCATAGTCAAGGCAGCCTGTACAGCGATAGCGGAGATTGGGCGCAACGGCCCCATCCCCCTGCCCAAGGGAGGTAAGACCAATGGACGATCAACCACCAAGGGCAGCTCGGAAGGCTCGGTCAGGAGCAAGAACGGTGCTACCGGTCCCACCAAGCTGAGTCTCGTGCAGAGACTGACAGAGATATTCACCAGAGACTCTGTGCTTTACGTGCTTGAGGTAAGGAAATGTGATGGATTGTCATGTCATCAGTTTTATTTGATTTGATTTATTTATTTCTGTTTGATTTTCTTTTTCTTTTGCAGTTTTACAAATATATAACAAACAAAACATTGCAAATTTTACACATGACAAAAGAATGTATGTAGAATAATGTAAGGCTGGCTGTAACAAATCGAAAACATACTTCTGCTGTAAACAAACCTCCAGTTTCACAAACTTTATGACTTTCATGCAGGTGAAGAAGGAAGCAGCCGAAGCCCTTGCCCATCTGATGGTAGGAGAGGCCGAGTTCCCTTACAGCAAGCTTGTCTTAGAAGCACTACCCAAGGGTCTTAAGGTAATTGCACTGCATTGTACCATATTCTTAAAAGTCGTCCAACTTTGGGACATATTTGAACCCACCCCAAATGCCTGGAGTTAAAGTGTATCAAATTTGAACTTCGTCATCCTTTAAAAATCATGATTCCAGTAACTATATAGAAAAGAAGAAAAAAGGCCTTTGAAATTTGCATTTTCATTCCGTGATCTAATCATTTTTGTTATTTTATAATATTTTGTTGATGTAATTACTCGTTTTCATTCAAAGCTTGGGAGTGAGTTTGCACAAATCAGTTTCTGGTTTAAATACAGAGAGTGAATGCTGCTCAAATTTAGAACTTTGTTGCCTGTTTGGGTAGAAACTAACTAAAAGAAATATATTTGTCACTTCTGAATGGCACAAATATCATTTATTAATCCAAATGATAGAAATATCATTTGTCATGTCTAAAATAAAGCAAAGACAATTATTATCTCCATATTTGCGCAGATCTCAGCACCCAGCAGAGAAGAACTCTTCCCCTTCCAGTTCCATCTTGCCGATGTCCTATCCACTGCCCTCCAGGGGCCGTCAGCCCCCGCTGCTCTGGACCCCTGGCTGGACGAGAGCACCACACCCCTCGGTAGGGCCACGCCCACCAACGGGTCCCTCAAGGCACTCCTAGACACCCTCCTCACGGATCGGCGGGAGACAAACAACTCAGATGAAAAAGAGGTGAGGAACTGTTCTTGAGGCAGGAAGATGAAAGGATATATTCCATCTGGGGAGTGTTTCATAAAGCTGTGCTTTAAGTTGTGCATGACTTTACGAATGACTTGAATATGAAGAGCTAAACGTGATTCTCAAATCCTTTTAATTGCATAAGCTAAAGTTGAAATATGCAGATGTAGATTAACCTTAATGCAAAGTGTATTTTTGGCTACAATTTTAATTGAGATTATGGGAAATACAGACACACCTTGTTAAAATGTCAGAAAAAACTTTGGGCATCCCATTTGGCTCTTCATATTCAAGTCCTTTGTAAAGTCATTCATAACTTTATGCACAGCTTTATGAAACACCCCCCCCCCCCCAGCAATGGGAGTCAGAAGGGCTAAACCTCACATACTTAAACACAGATTTGATATCCTTTGGCATATCCTTTGGCATATCCTTTGGCATACCTTTTTTTTTGTTTTTTTTTGTGTGTGTTGCTTAAGCCAAATTAAGCTTGTTTTATCATATGCCGCGATGTGAGAGTTCACGTATTGCGTGCGTTGAAGGGCTGCATGATTGAGCAGTGAATTTGTGTTCGCTTTTTTGCACAGATTTACTGCATATTGCCAGTTACGCTGCCGCTGCATGTGCGAACGCCTGTTAAGGGTACAGATTTCTTATTTTCGAAGACATACCGTGCTAAAAATTCTTAATTCTCATTTTCAAATGTTGGCAGGTATGATTTGGGTTCCAAACTGACAATTTGTAATTTGTTCAGTATTTTGGCTGTATTTTTTTGTGGTTGCATCGATTGAGGCTGCAAAAGCATTTTAATGATTATATTTAGACAGTATAATCAACACACAGTCAGGTTGTGTAACATTGTGTTTAAGAAATACAAAGACAATTATTTTTGGAGTGCAGAGAGAGAGGGAGAGAGAGAAAAGACGAGTAAGAGAAGAGAAAGAGAGTTGAGAGGGTGAAAGAGAGAGATAGAGAGAGAAGAAAAGATATAGGAGGACAATCAGAGAAGGGAGAGAGAGAAGGAAAGAAGGAAAGAAGGAAAGAGATGAGAAGGACGATCAGAGAAGAAACACAGATAGACTGATGAAGAGAAGAAACAGAGGAATGTAGAGAAGTTGATCTAATAGCGAGATATAAACATAATACTATGTTTCTCTTTTTCTCCCCATTTCCTCCAGGCAATAGCTGTTATGTTAACAGTCCTATTTGAGACATTCAGGCACAATCAAAGTATTCAGGTAAGAATTTTGTTTCCCTTCATATTATTTTGATTCTAAATTTTAGCTAATATTTACAACAGTATTCTGTTTTTGTTTGAAATGGTTTTTTCTGCAGTTGTGAAATATACCTGATTTGGATTTATCTGGATTTTGTATAGAAAGTAGCTCTTGGAATGGTTTAGTGTATTTTATCAAAGCAATTTATATGCTTTAGTTTAACATTTAAAATTGCTCCAGATAATATAAAACTGTACATTCTTCACAACATGTAGGTTAATAAGGATCTGTATTATAATATAAGTGGTGTGTTTGAAAACTGTGATCATAATGCATGAAATTTAAATGGATGTTCTAAAAAGCTACAAATTGATATCACTACCATTGAATGTTCATTACATATTTATAAAAGGTATGCATCATGTTTTCCCCAAAATTTCATATACAACAATACCTAACCGCTCATAAGCTTATCTTAGATTTAACTGAACTAGCAAGAAAGACTGCTTGTGAATTTTTGTCCTGGTAAAGAAAATAGATTTTGCTCTTATTTAATCACATGCACATGGAGCTATGAAATATTTGCAGCTTAAACCAGACTTCACAATGTTTATTTTTCAATCTTTCTCTTGATTTCAGGATAATGAAGCTGAAATGATGAGCATCATAAAAGACTCTGTCATGGAGTGGGATGGTAAGACCGTTTTTCCTTTTATTATAGCAATTTTGTCATCTTATTCCAACCCTTGAGTGATCAGAAAGATATGTCAGAGAATAAAAGTTTGGCAGTAAAAATCGAGGGATGCACAATTCTTTTTGCTTTTGATATTGAACATGTGAGTTTCATTCCTTTAAAAGAATTTAAGTGTAGAAAATTACCTGGTGTATTTTAGAAATCTTTCAACTTTTCCTTAGGTGAGGGGCATCCCCGGATGGTTTAGGGATTGATAGATAAGGGTGCATTGTGGGCTGTTCTGGGACTGAAGGGTATTAAATGATATTAATCCTTATAATCGTCAAGGGTTGTACAACGCATGCTCCTGTGACAATTGCTTCCCTGTCTATTTCCTATAATAAATGAATTCCTATCTTCAATCCTGGACTCAGCACTTTACCAACACTCACTCTAGCTCTAACCCACACCCTCAACCCTTTGGGTGGAATTCTCAAAAGGGGACTAACTTTAGTCCATGGTTTTATCATCCTACTAAGTATGGAATGCCAAGTGTCCATATGAATATATTTTGAATAATTTGATATGTCCCTAGATTACCATGATAACATAATTATTTCATAGTTATATTGTTGTTTATTAATTATGTTATTACTTTTTATATTAATTTAGTGACAGATTAAATTATTCAAAAACATATTCATACAAACACTTGGCATTCCATACTTAGAGGATTAAACCATGGACTAAAGTTAGTCCACTTTCGAGAATACTACCCTATAACTTTTTAGGAAATAGATCCCAGAGTAGTTGTCACCAGAGCAAATGTCAGATCACTTCACAATGAAGCCCAACTATGTCTTGTTTACTCCCACAGGCAGTGGTGTCGTCTCCGAGCTTCCTCGCGATCTTCAGCAGCGTATTCTTAAAGTCCTGAAGCTGACGAGGGTGTCTAACGATACGTCGTCTCCGTTCGCAACCGGGATGGACTCCAGCGATGCTTCCTCATCGCCTGTATCTGGGATGGACTCTGATGAACCGCTGTATGCGGCCGTGCACAGGCGGGTTACGCCCGACGTCCACAGCAGCTCCGCAGACGGTTCTGAAGACACGGTGAACGATGACACCCCGATGCTCAATGATGCCACCAATGAAGACGATGAGCTGACCTCATTTTAAAGAGACAAGGATGTGTGTATCGAAATCTTGCATTGTGAAACATGACATTGATGAGGTGAGAGATACAGATGGGTCCGTTGAAGTCTTGCAATGTGAAACATGACAGTGGGTCCTGCAATGGTTGTCTACATAGATCTGACAGAACTAAATGGAGAGTTGATCATGTGGAGGACGTATGGTGCTATAGGGAGTCATTTGATTACCATGGCTTATGAAATCAGTGATGCCAATTTGTAGGCTTTAGACATTTTCAGGCCCCCATCACCCTTCCAGTTCAGGCTTTTTCAAACTCCCACAAAGGATCAAATGGTGATCCAACAAGTCTAGACCACTTTCCAGGCCCCTTGGATGAAACCAACTTGTCTCCTTGATATATACTTGTTAAACCCTTACTGTATGGGCTTGACCAAAGGCTAAGTTACGTTGTTGAAAGAGGTGGCACTTGGCAGCAGGTAATACGTTTGAATTTAAATCAACTTAGCACCAATATGAGAATGGGGTTTGTAAGGCCCATCATGTTTCTCATCACGGAGTTACTACGCTATGGAAAAGGTTAAGAATCATTTGGATATCCATCTTAGCCTTAAATCAGCTCATCTCTGATGAATGCCATCTTCCTGTTTCTAAGTGAAGAGAGGTTCATCAACCAACATCTTCAGGCCATGGAGTGCTTGTGGAGCACTTGTAAGATTACGTCTTTTATCAAAAGGTCTGTTTTCATCAGACCGAAGTTGCAAAATAACCCACTATATTCAGACTCGGGATATTTTCCCGAAGCTTGAAATTGCATCCCCACCAGACCGATACGCTCATCACAAACTAGATGAAGATGGGCGCAAATTAGCCCGCTATTTGGGAAATAGCGAGCTATTTTGTATAAAACAAGACCAAATTTCTCAGGATATTTTCTCGACCAAATAACTGGCTGATGGCAACTGCGGGCTGATGAAGCCGCAAATTAGCTGGCTAATTTGAGATCGGGCTAGTTAAAATAGGGGGTAGTGTTTAACCCAAACATGAGGAAATAAAGGTATTGTCATTAGCACGATATCCGCCTAACATTATATTCATAGAAGAATTTTAAAAGTTTTCTAACCCAATTGTTGTCTAGTAAATTGACTTCATGCAAGGTAAAGAGAACTGCATAAATATCCGTTATTGAGGGGTGCATACGATCATTGCCAATTTGAAGCATTTTGGGTATGGCAATGATGAATTTTTATTGTGAAAATGAAGGATTTCACTGTGATGCTTTTTACTGTATATCTGATGCTGCATTTGTATGACAGGTGGCCACGTTGCCTTGTCTATTATGAGAGTTTCTCACACACGTTTTATTGATTTTCATGGAAGATGGTATTGTGATAAAACTGCGATACACTGTACTTGCTCACTTTGTCAAACAGGGAAAAGGAGTTGTTAGATTAAATAGATTTTAGGATTGAAGGTCAAAAATTTGCTAGTGTTTACAAATTGGACAATGAGGGGTGGCAAGATACACAACAATTTACAGCATGATATATTGTTAAATCCTGGGCATGATGAGTCTTATATTTATATAAAATGAAGACAAGACTGTGATAAACATGCACCTATTTGCAGGGGGATGCTATATAGATTTAAATATGATGTACAAACTTGTAAAGAAATGAACAGTACTCTATTATTCTTACTTTGTAAGATTGTACTTGTAAATACTCCAAAGAAACAGATTATCTGTAAATACTACAAGAAGTGTCATATAATTTTCTTGTTTATTATATTAACTCATTTATATTATCTTGCATTTATTTTACTTTGAGCTACTCGTCATGTGTCACTGTCAACAAGAATTTTAGGATGCAAAGTCCAATCATAAAAAAAAATGATGATAAATGTAGTTACATCAACTGCAGCAATCTGCTTTATTAAAATTGAAAATAGTGCGATGGTATAGTGAAGTTAATAAACAGACAGGATATAGATAATCTGTATGCCTTGAATCCACAATCACATTTTTTAAAACCAAGACCAAAACATGGAAATGGATCTAAACAACCTGTTTATATATGATCCATAAATAATACAGATGGGGCACTTATCGTAATATACACTGTATGTGTATGTTCCATACCGTTTGGATGAAATTGCATTGTCATGAAGTCAATTAATTATACAAAATACTTTTAAGAATTTTTATTTACACAAGTTATTCAAAAATGAGAAGCTGCATGCATTAATCTTTTTAGAATGTGCATCCTTAGTACATACCTGTATATCTTGTTCTGAAATAACTACTGTACAGCATATTTTTGTTTTTTTGCAATATTATGCCAAAAATGTGTACCTTTTTAGTAAAAAAACAAAAAGTAGACCAAAATCAAGTTCTTCCATATTTCATTTTTTCAAGGCTGAATATTATGTCTTTCACATTTAATTCACTGTACTTTTACCCCTTCTCTTCTTCTCTTTTCATTCATGTATGTCTATATTTAGATAATATATTCACATCCAATATTTTAAAGATTTTCTTCTTTGACTTGAGCATCAAAGTTCACAAATTACTTTGAACACATATGAATATATTGTCTGTTTGAAGCCACAACTCTGTGTTGAAGTTTATGATGTAACACCCTTATTGCTCCATATAAATTATACACCTGGATGATGTAATATGAGTGAGGAAGTTGTCTTAAAATGTAACAGGAGTTGTTGTTGCATTGCCTGACCTATATGTTCATACAAGAATATACAATACACTTGTCATAGTATTAAGGGAATCATACAGTTCATTTATAGAATATTCACCAAATACATTTCATTATAATGTAGCCTAAAAATATTCATTTGCAGTAACTAAACGAGGCTGAATTTGCAAGGGAATGGATTAATCTATGCATTTATGGAAACATACTGCTTATCCAAAGGCTGTCTTTTGAATTAATCTTGAAGAATATACTGTATATCTGTGTCTTTCATAACTGTCTTTCAATCGTCTCATTGAGATTTTAAAAGTGATGAATTGTTCAAGTTTTTTTAATTTTAATTTTGTTAGTATTCATTTGGAAGAATTTTATATATGGTCTAGAGTGCATCATGTCTTTAAGTTGCGTGTCACACAGATGATTACATTTGATAAACAGTATTTCTTCTAAAATCGAATATTCTGTAAATTCTTGGTTGTCTATTTTATTTTGTTCACTTTATTGTTCCTTGTATCCATGTTCAAATATTTCAATATTTATCTTTTACTTGTCATATCATGCATGTGTTCCTTGTCTTAAATGATGTTTTAAACTTAAATTAAAGAGTGTGTTAATTAAAAGAATCACTCTATATCATATTACACAGATTATATGAATGTTACATCTACAAGCATTATTTTCACAAAGCATCTTTGTTCCATTCTTTTAATCAGCATTTACAGGAAATATTTTATCAGAAGCAAAGATTTTTATCAATTGTCTGTGTGAATCAAACAGAAATCAATGAAAAGTGTTTTGTTGTATATTGTGTTTTGCTAAATAAGTATGTGGAATCGAGAATCGAAAAAAGAGAAGTTGTCATTTATGTGTGTAAACTATGTTGTCTTAACATGTATGTATCTTTTTATCCAGATTAATGTTCTTTCATGTAATAAATGCAATTTACCTTACACATTCTTGTCTATCTTTATATATTGTATGTGGGTGTGTGTAGTCTCTTTGTGTGTTATGATTCTCCGAATGTTTTTACACTTTCTAAAGCAGTCTCAAGTTTTGGTACTGATGGAAAAATAGTATCTCATAGATTCCAAACCATTCTTACCCCAAAGTCTGGCAGTAGTACAATCAAATGTTATCTGAAAAACGATTTTGGTAGAAAATGTTTATTAGCTGAGAAATGCGCAAAGAAAGAGAATATTTTTTTAATAATAACTAAGCTACACGTAGTCGTCAAGGGGGCCGTTTCTCGAAACCGTCCTAAGTCCAACTTCTTAGACATCCCATTGAAATGCGTGTCATAGAACTAACACGCGTTTCTATGTGATGTCCACGAACTTGGACTTATGGCGGTTTCGAGGAACTGGCCCCTGATCGACCACGTGTCAGGCAATGCATGACGTTTCTTCAGTGAAAAGTGATTTCTATCAAGTTAAACTAAACCAAACCACTTACAGTTACCAACTAAATTGTTTATACCCCTTGTGAATCTGAGGGTTTTTGTGTTTTTCGTAACTCAAGAATGAAAGATGAACTGGTTGAATTAGGGCCTTTGTAAGCTTTAATATGTCACATTCTCAAGAAAAATAAGTCAGAACAAATCATATTTTCACATACTGAACAAATTACAAAACTTGGTTAGGCTATGATTCATTTAGTTGTTAACTATTATCTACAGCATAATAATGAATCCAATGTGTCTTATAGGCACTTGAAAACGCCAGATCATTTCTATGTGCCCGTCTTGTAAAGAGTTTATATTAATCGCAACTTATTACCTATTGCATTCAATCGCAACTACGTACATAGGAGATATAGCAGACGGCAAATTTTTGACTGATTGGAGGACTTGCGATTAGGTTGGATCAATCGCAACTCTTTATAAAACGGTGGCACATATGAGCCTAAACTGACAATGCTTTATCTTTCCTCACTTATATCAAAGAAATAAATTGTCTCGTCACTTTCAAGAGACCTTTAGAAACATACTTCCGCAGTTAATCTATTTACATTTAACTCCTTTGGTATCTTTTTTTTTGCATTTCCTTATCTCTCCATGGTCTTTCAATCTTTCTTTCCATCCTGT